GATGGAGCTAGAGGGTATTATGCTCAGTGAAATAAGCCAAGCAGAGAAAGACAAATACCAAATGATTTCACTCATCTGTGGAGTATAAGAACAAGAAAAACTGAAGAAACAAAACAGCAGCTGTGTCACAGAACCCAAGAATGGACCAACAGTTACCAAAGGGAAAAGGACTGGGGAGGATGGGTGGAAAGGTAGGGATAAGGATGGGGAAAACAAAGGGGAGTTCTTACGATTGGCATGTATAATGTGTGTGGGGGCACCAGGAGGGATGTGCAACACAGAGAAGACAAGTAGTGCCTCTACAGCATCTTACTACACTGATGGACAGTGACTGTAATGGGGTTTGTGGTGGGGACTTGGTGATGGGGGGAGTGTAGTAAACATAATGTTCTTCATGTAATTGTAGATTAATGATAACAAAATGAATTTTAAAAAAATGAACAGACATTTCACCAGAGTGGATATACAGATGGCAAGTAAACACATGAAAAAATGTTCAACATCATTGGCCACTAAAGAAGTGAAAGTTAAAACCTCAATGAGATATCAGTACACACCTATGTAAATAGCTAAATTAAAAAATTGTGGCAACACCAAAGGCTGGCCAGGATGCAGAGAAACTGGATTACTCATATATGACTGCTGGGAATGTGAAATGATATAGCTACTCTGTAAAAGTTTAGAGTTTTTAAAACAACTAAACATGCACTTACCATATGACCCAACGATTGTACTCCTGGGCATTTGTCCCAGAGAAATGAAAAGTTAGGTTCACACAAAAGCTGTACACACATTTTCAAAGCAGCTTTATTTGTAATAGACAAAAACTTGAAACAAACCAGATGTTCTCCAGTAGGTAGAATGTTTAAACAAACTGGTACATCCATTCCACAGCAATAAAAAGGAACGAACCATTGATACACACAACTTGGATCTCCAGAAAATTACAGCGAATGAAAAAAAGCCAGTCCTAAAAAAAGTTCACATAGTGTATGCCTCCATTTATATAAAGTTTTTGAAATGGTACAAGTCAAGAAGTGGAGATTGTCAGAAGTTATTGAGGAGTGGGTGCAGAAGTGAAGTGGTTGTGGCTAGAGAATTGCAACAGGAAGGATCTTTGTGGTGATGGAAGTGCTGTCTTGACTGTATCACTGTCAATATCCTAGTTACCATACTGTACTATTAAGTTTTGCAAAATATTATTGGGAGAAACTGAGTACAAAATATACAAGATCTCTAATATTTTTTATGGTTACATACAAATCTAAAATCATCTCAAAAATTAAAAATTAATTTAATTTTTAAAAATTGCCTTGAATTTCCAATGGGCCAATTGTTTTTCCATATATCCAGCTAGTTTCAATCATTCTTTTGGCTCAGACCCCTTACTTCAGCCACTTCCTTCTCAACAGATAACTACGATCACAACCACCATTTCCAGCTATCATTTACTGGGCATTTGTTATGTGACAAAGGATTTTACGTACTAAGAACTTTATATGTATTAAGTCTTTTACTCCTCATAACAGATAACTCTGAATTCTGTTTTTCATAGGAAGTAGCAGCCTCAGACACCAGTCCCTCTACAACCTCATATATCCACATCTTTCCCTTCCTTTAATAATGAAAACAAGTGTCCTGGAAGTCTGGAGAAAGGAAATTCTGAGGCAAAATACTCCTAAAAACCAAAATCAATCAAAGGGAGAAATAAAGTTCAAAACCTGTTTATTGCTCACAAACTGCAGTCCCAGGCCATCTTTCTTCTCTACTCAAGCAGCAACCACACCGGCCCTCCCCCTCACCTCTCAGGTACAGATAATCCCTCTGTTGCCCAGGTAATCACCCAATGATATGGAGATGAACTTTTCCACCCCTTAGGAAAGATGCAAATGCACTAAAGCAATACTGCTTTCCACCTCTGAACGCCTATTGATATGAAGATATACTAAAGCCAGGTGAGATATTCTGGAAATGTTTCAATTTTACCCACAGGCCACCCCTCCAGAAATCTCACCTTACAGTTTACTCAATCCCTCTCTTCCGACCAATCTAATTACATGCAATAGCAACAGCAATAAAATCTTGATAATCCTCAAGCCGGATGATTCAGCTAGGTTACTTTATAGCACAATCTCTCACTAAGCACAAAAATACGTTTCTACACTTGTTTACTCATTCTTAACAATCATACTAGATTGCTCACAAAACTTTTACAAAAATTAGACAAAGTCAAGCCTCTCTTTAAACATTATTTTCTTGATAACAGCAACACAATCATAATTCTCAAGCCAGAGGATTCAGCTTGGTTTAAAGTCCCATGCAGATTAAGTCCAAAGCTAATCCATTCCAGCCATCATGCAGCAGCTGCAGCCAGGGGGCACATCCAGGACACAAAGACCGTAGAAGCAAATAACCATGATTGCTGGGGGCCAATTTGCTGTTATTACAGGAATACACAGAAGGCCAGCTTCCAGGCCTTTTCCCCAAGGTGCCAGAAGAGCCAGCCATTGCTGATCCTGTGTTGAAATGTCCAGGGCCATGTCCATTTTACTCCTAATTGCTGCACCCATCCTTGCAACACATGTCCAATAAAATGGGTACCTCGATGGCTCTCTCAGTAACCGGCGACCGACCATAGGCTGCAGAGAGACGCTCTAGGCCCCTCTTGGTGGTTTGGTGATCTGCACAACGTGCAGGGCACTCCTTCCAGGGTCAGCTGACTTCTTCAAAGGTGAAAGGCAAGCCCCACCGACAGGCTCACATTGTCTTTTGAGGTGTCTGTGCCACACCACTCCGTGGCCTTTGGGTCCAGTCTCGCACACACCCCACGATGGTATAGGAGGTTATTACCTTGGTTGGAGCTGTTCCGGCGATGGGCTCTGTAGCCAGCAAGGCATGGTACACAGCCGCCAGTTGCTTCTCTATCAAGGTGACCCGGACCTCTGCTCCTTTTCATGGTTGTGGTCAGGCTCCGGCCTGCAGCAAGAGCAGCAGCAGTGGCAGAAGCAGTAGCCTTAGGCTTGGGCCATGGGCCGGGGTCGACGTGGCCAGCAGCGGTGGTGGCGCCTCCGTGACCACACGAGTGTAGACACATGTCCCTTGGCGCGAGCGCCACTTCTCCCCATCATTTCTAGGGGCAGCCCTCCCAAAGGTCGCACCATTATGACAGGTTTCGGGTTCACAGGAACCCTGCCGACTTTTGTCAATTGTAAGTCTGGGGAAAGGAAATCCCAGGGCAAAATACCCCTAAAAACCAAAATCAAACAAAGGGAGAAATAAAGTTCAAAACCTGTTTATTGCTCACGAACTGGTCCCAGGTCGTCTTTCTTTCTTGCTCGAGCAGCCACAACCCCGGCCCTCCCCCTCACCTGTCAGGTACAGATAAGTCCTCTGTTGCCCAGGTAATCACCCATTGATATGGAGATGAACTTCTCCACCCCTGAGGAAAGATGCAAATGTACTAAAACCATACTTCTTTGCACCTCTGAACGCCCATTGATACGCAGATATACTAAAGCCAGTCGAGATGTTCTGGAAATGTTTCGATTTTACCCACAGTCCATTCCTCAGATTAAAGGGTATCCTTTCCCTTGAACACTGGAACTTATCTTCTTAAGATTCTAACTCCTTTCAACATCCTCTTTCTGGTATTTTAAACTCCTGTCTATTAGCTATACACTGTCTGAATTTAGGTAAGCTCCTGTCTCCCCCTATCGTTTAAAAGAACAAACTTCCCCCAACCTCACTTAGCATCAACTATTCTCATGCCTCTTTTTGTAGCCACTCTCCTTAAAAATTGTTTACATTTACTCTGATTCCTTACATTACATTCAGTTCACAAACCACGACATTTCTGCTTCTACTCTATGAAAGATGACCTCTTCCCAGCCTTTGACACTGTAGGATCTGAAGAATCAAAAGTTAGCATAAGCACAGCCATCTTAAAAAGCTTAAACACCACCCTCTAACCTAGAAGGAGGAAAATTATTAGAACCTTGAAAAACAAGTTAGTCAGCCAGTGTTAATTGTAGTGACCTTTAGTTAGCTAACCTCAAATCAGTTAATCATACATACCAAGCTTATCTTGCTAGAACCACCCTAAACATTCTGAAAGTGATTTTATCTAACCAGACCCCCAGGATGTGGTGACAGCCGAAAATTTATGTGTCTATGGAAAAACACTGTATTGTGGCTGTGGAAAATGCTGCCCTTTTGAAACTGCTATAAAAACCTCTGGCTTTGTGTGTTCAGGGTCCTTGTTGAGACCCGCTGCGTTGGGCTAACTTGGACCCTAGCTAGCTGGTTCCTGAATTAATTCCTCTTGCTTGTTGCATCAAGAGACGCCTTTCGTGAGTGATTTGGGGCGGCGTCCTCCTCTGGGAGTATCCAACAACACCACCACCTATTCCTTCCTTTAAACAATTTTTGGACTTTTCTGACATCACCATTCTGTGACAGTTGAGGTAAGTGACACAAGTGACCTAAAGGGAGGTAAATAAATTTATAATAAAGTTAGGTAAATGTAAGATAAATTTTAGCTGAAATAAGCTGGCGAAGAGGGGCAACAAAATGCCAGGTAGTTTATTTGAACGCAAATTCCCGGGTGATATTTTCCCGTCTATCACAGGCCGGGGAAATGACACTTAGGGCAGGCAGCGAGTTTTGAAAGCAGGTAGGGGGAGGCAGAGCTTAGATTTACGGCGGCACGAGGATTGGCTCGCCTGAGGCACATTTTTCAGGTTGGGAGTGGCAACAGCTGGGGACTTAAGCACGTCCTCAGTGTCTTACGTGCTCACCCCTCCTCCTAGTGCCTCCAACCTTACAGTAAGGAAATGGATTTAGCCATTTAGGTAAATGGGACTGAAGGTTGCTACCTTTTGAGAGGAGACTTGGAGACAGGAAACAGAAAGGACACTGACATTAAAACAATGTGACCGTGACTTTCAACGCTCTCTTCCCCATCCTTTAAAGGCCTGCAGGTACTCAAGGAAAAGCTAAAGGGCGAAAGGCAGCGGGGGCCGCCCGGCGCCTGCGAGAAGGGCAGGCTGTACGGCGGTGCAGATCTTGCCCCGTGGAGGTGAAGGAAGGTCCTGGGTCGCTAGCGGAACCCGTGCGCAGGACCCTGTTGCAGCCCGGCGCCAGGCGGCGGTGCGGTGGGTGCCACGCGCGTGCGCGGCGGCGCTTCCGGCTCCGGCAGCCTCTGCAGTGTGCACTCTAGTTCCGGGTTCCCTGCAGTTCCCGAGGCCGTAGGTGCAACCGGCTTCTGCGGACCTCGAGCTCGGCGCCGGACACCCTGGAGGCGGGCCAGAGGCTGCCGGAGCCCACGCTCGTCCCCGGCGCCGGCGCCGGCACCGGGAGGAGAGCGGGAGCGGCGTGCGCTCTCCGAGCCTGGCATTCCAGGCTCGACCGGGCGTCGCTGGAAAAGGGACCCGCGGCGGGGGTGGAGGAAACTTGGGTCGAATAGGTTTCTCAGCAGATTCAGGGCTATGAAGCCATTCGAGCTCGCACTTTTTAAAAAAGATGAAGAAATTAAAGCTTAAGGAACTGGAGAGTCGCCTGCAACAAGTGGATGGATTCGGGAGGCCCAAGCTATTTCTAGAACAGTATCCGACGAGGCCGCACATTGCAGGTAGGGCGGCTGGTTACCGCGGCCGTGCTTGCCGGGTTAGTCCTGTCCATCCACTCCACAATGACAAATAGAACAGTTATCTGGGCACAAAGAACGTCTAGAGGAAATTCCGTATTACGCTAGAGAGGACTTCCTTGACTCCGAAGCTGGAGACACCATCCACACACACTTCGTTTTCCTGTTTGGTTTTCTGCATATTCCTTAACACTGTCAGACATCTTTTTATTGTGTTTTGTTTCTTTCGTTACGCTATAAACTCCTTGAGGGCAAAGAATTTCCAGGTCTTGTTAACACAATTACCAGTGCCTCGGAGAGTTCTGATACTAACAAGTTAGGAGATTAGAAAATATTTGCCAAACAAGAATTATTTTCCTATTTCAATGAATTGCCAGTGCAAAGATTCCTGTGCTATATACACTGCCTTATAAATGAGTGCTAGAGTTGGTAGCAGGAAGACTTGAGTTTAACAAATCGACAATAAGTACTATAGATAAAGATGAGGATGCATTTCAGTTTTAACAAATGATCTGAGAATCAGCAGTGTTGCTTGACGCAAAAGATTGATACTAAGAGTTACAGGAGAGAACACTGGAAAACCCATTTACATTGATAAAACCTATTGCCAAAGTCACTGGGGACTCTTAGGGAAATTAATTTGTTGGGAACCCTGCAAGAAGGAATTCCGTTGCAGTTCCAAAGTAGTTTTGTTTCTGAACTACCAATGAAAGTCAAGGAAAATACATGCATACCTGCGTTTAACACCAACATACTGTATGTTTTTTTAAATCAGTTCTGCACCCAGTGTGTATGTAACATGCATGGGGGTGCTAATTCTTTGAGATACCAGCTTCAAAGTCACACCTGTAGCGATACTCAGGACAACAGAGTCAGCCTGAGATGTCCCTGGGTAATTGTGTTTTGATAAAATCTTTGGATCCTGGGGGTCATTTTTGGCAAGTAGTCTTTGCTAGGTTCAGATATCCATAGGGAGATACCAACGGGTATCTCTACTTATACCTCACCTTCAGTGTATCCCAGAACTCTGTATGTTTGAAAGGTCCCTTTCCAATCTCAGCAACTTCTGCTCTGTTCCTCAGTAGTTCTCTTATTAGGTCTCATTAGATTTTGAATATATTGTGTCTGTAGACCATGAATATATGTGTCTAAAGGCTGTATTGTGGATGTAGGTCTTTTCCTTTCCCATTCTAGCTTGAATTTACGGCATTTGTGTTCTGGTGACAAACTTGTTGCAAAAAGTTCTGTGCCATTTTAATGTTAATTCTTGTTCTATATTTACAAGTGATTCTCCCAGACTTACAGGTTTCACAGATTGGTAAAAATTTCAAAACTATTTTGAAAACTGACACAGGGTTGCCAAGTTTTTATTTTGACAAGGAAAGATATTTTTTAAACCTTTACTCTTACCATCCTTTCATAAAAATGTCAGTATCAAAGAAAGAACTGATATATATGAATGGCAAGATTTTGAACAAGCTGAAGAAAAAACATTTTTACCTTATTTTTCTCATTTTACTTAAAAGTTTTGTCATTCCTGACATTGTCAGCAGAGACTACTTTTTGGAAAGCTTTGGTATGTTATCATCCTTTGTGGGTCCTCTTACTGATGCCGGGGTTCTTGTTCACGAAGCCGAAGAATGAGCTTCACAAACAGTCAAGGTAGGAGAGCAAGGTACAGGCTGTTATTTAGAGATAAAATGAAAGGACAGAGCTCCCGGCTCACGCCAGGAGGGGACAAGAGAGTTCGTAGTGGTGCGTTGTCTATGGGGTTTTATAGGCAGTTGAGGATTTTTCGAGAATGTGAAAAAGAGTTTAGGGGTGTGGACTTGTTAAGTGGACCCTGAATATTAAAAATTAACTTAACGTAAGAAATTTCCTGCCTTGATTTCTCTCTGGGACACCGGCACCTTGGTCTGGGAGCACATCAAAAGGCTGCCTGCCCAGCCCCCAAGGTGGGCTGAGGTATTGTCTATTTGCTAAAAGAATCCTGCCTCTTGAACTTCCTGGGTGTTAAAATGCAATCTTATCTTTAAAATGGAATTCTTCCTGCCTTTTACCATGTCGTCTACAGCTGGGTCTGCATGCTAAGTAAGTTGCTCAGTTTGCAAAATTACCTCGTCAGATCTGAAGGAGGAAAGACAGCACATAGGCCTGGGTCTTTTAATATGCTAAAGTGAACCTTACACATGGTTACAAATGATTAGCATAATAAAACATGTGCTACTCTCCTTTATCTGGGGAACATTAACTGATGTCACTGAAGAATGATTCTAGAGCTCAATGTTTAACCTAGAGTTTTAGTAGGGGGGTTTCCTTGCATGTAGTTACATTGCTCAGACTGCAAATATCCCACCCTGCCCCCTCCGGAGGCCCTCACCCTACTCTGACTACATCCATGGTCCCTGTCTCAATACCGCATACCAAGTTACCTTATGTGTTTTTAATAATCTGCAACACCATTTGGGGGAGAACTGAATAATGCAATACAAGATATTGTTTTAGAAGAATCGTTTGTACAAATTTGATTTTGGTCATCACCTTGCTTATGTATTCCCCAAAATGTTCTTTGATCTTTCAGCATGTATGCTATATACAATCCATAACACATATGATGATATTGAAAATAAAGTGGTTGCAGATCTAGGATGTGGTTGTGGAGTGCTTAGCATTGGAACTGCAATGCTAGGAGCAGGGTAAGTGACCCAGTGTGTACTACTTGGGTATGGGTGGCCTTGGTAAGCATAAATAGAATCAACTGAATTATAGTTATGGGACTCTACAGTATGAGATGAGTAAGAATCTGATACTGTATATTTTGAATGGGTAGAACAGCAAAACAAACTAAAAAACAAAATGGTGACACATCTGAGTAACACTCCCTAACACACCTGCCGGGATGGGAAATCATGCTGTTGAAAGGTAACACTCACCCTTACTTTGCCAGTTGAGTTAAAAAGTATGTTTTTGGTTTTGTTATTATTCTGACTTGGGAGCTGTAAGTAGTCATTCTTCGTGTTTTGTATTTATAGGTTATGTGTTGGATTTGACATAGATGAAGATGCACTGGAAATATTTAACAGGAATGTGGAAGAGTTTGAGTTAACAAATGTTGACATGGTTCAATGTGATGTGTGCTCATTGTCTAACAGAATGTCCAAGTCATTTGATACAGTAATTATGAATCCTCCCTTTGGGACCAAAAATAAAGGTTGGTAATAAGAATCAGGTATACTGGTGTATTTGTAGAAAAGTACGTTTTAAAAACCACTGTCTCGTCATTGGGTCAAGTGATTTTATCAGTGTTTACTAAATAAACCAACCTCTTACCTGTATAGTTATTATAATTTCAGTTTGTTAATGCATGGCTATGGAATTGAATTTTTAAGTCTTTTTCACAAATTTATACTAATAAAGTCTTTTTATTATTACTTATACTACATGTTTTAAAGAATGATTTACCTAACCCTGTATATGATTATGAGTCTTATAAAGGATATTAAGCTTTCAGAACCTTTTAATACCTTAACACACTCAAAGGTTTCAACATATGTCTGTCAGTGACTTACTGTGACCACTTATTTTGTGCATGCTATGGGCAAGGAGCATAGGAAGTTAGTAAGAGGAGGAAAAGAATGCAGTTTAAAAAGTCATCACTCCAGACCCCACTTGATTCTGATTGCTACTCTATTCCCTTCTCCCTTCTTTCGAAGTTGTTAATTTGGAATTTAATATTGAAATTTTTACTTTAACCTTACTTAACACCAAGATAGTATCATTCTGGTTTTATTCTATCAATCTTAAAAAAAAGTATTTAGATATTTTATTTATTTGTACCCTCTCATTGCAGAAAGAATTTGAAGTGGCTATTTTGGAATTTAGAAAAAAATGTTTTAAAATACCTAGTATTCATTTGATTTTCTGTTCTGATAACAGGTATATAATGTAAACAGGAGCTTTTTCTACTCTTGACAGGGACAGATATGGCATTTCTGAAGACTGCTCTGGAAATAGCAAGAACAGCAGTATATTCTTTACACAAATCCTCAACAAGAGAAGTAAGTTCAAATCATTTTCTGTGTCATTTGTTTTGAATTTATGACTGTTTTAAGGATTTGCTGTGAATACTAAATACTAGGGTATCTATTTCTTCTGACATTTTTTAACATCTGGTACTTAGAAACTGAATTTTCCCTTTAACTACCTAGCATTTGTAATCAGCTTTTTCCCAGCCTCTATATAACTTCTTTTGTCAAAAATTTGTTCTGGCAGAAACTGTTAATGGGAACAAGATTATAAATCAGTAGAGAAATATGGTATACCCAGGGTTATAGTATGTCCTGGTTTTCCTGGGTAAATCCTGATTGATGCCTGTAGTCCCAGTGTCCCTGTGTGTGGTTTGGTGTGCATAAGGAAGGCAGTTAAGCCCTGATTTTTAAGACCAGTGAACCTGGAGTCAAACTGATCTGAGTTCAGAACCTACCTCCTTCCATTATTCTCTTGCCAGTCATGTAATACATGGGGATGTATAAGATGTATTTCCAGAAAATTGGGGGTGAGAGTGGTGCATTTTTTTTAGTGTCTATATAATATAGTGATCAAGAACATAAACTGTAGAGCCAGACAGCCTAGGTTCAGATCTGGACTCTGCTGCTTCCCAATTGTTATCTTGGTCAAAGTACTTGAGTTCAATTTCATCCCCTATACTGTATTTACCTACACTCTTATAAAGAACTGAAAGTACCTTATACCTTGCAAGGTTGTTGTAAGGATTAAATCAGCCAATATTTGCAAAGACACTTAGAAGTGTCTTGCATATGTAACTGCTATGTTAGCTGTTACTTTAAATCATACATGTATACTTTAAATCATACATGTATAGATTTTGAAGTAGTTTTGTAGGAAAAAACTGTGTAAATACACTGTACTGGAATCAGGTTGGAAAAAATAAGTTCTGCATATGCAATAGTCTGATTACCCTTTAAAATACATAATTACGTGGCTACAAATATATACACTGCTAACATGAGTAATGGTACATGTAGAAGCTTGTGTTGAGGAGGTTCCCAAGACCCCTCAGGTTTGATGATTCACAAGGAAATCACACACTATCGCATACAGTCATACTCATTATTTACTGCTAAAAGATACAGAGCAAAAATGGCAAAGTACAGGGGCAACCAGGTGCAGGCTTTCAGAGTTCTCACTTAATTCCTCAGCAGCAACTTTTTGTGACAAAGCATGTGAATGTCAACCAGGGAAGCTCACAAAGACTCAGTGCCCAGGCTTTTTATTGAGGTCTGATCACATAGGTACTCCTCTGCCTGGCAAATCCCTAATTCCAGACTCCCAGTAGCAAAACAGGTATTCAGCATAAAAGGTTAAGCACAGTGAGCCACTGTTATCAATTAAGGGGATGGAGAACAAAAATTCTCTGAAAGTCTAAGTTTCCATATTCCAGCCAACTAAGGGCCAACCTTCTACGTAGGACTCCCTAAGAAAAAGCAGTCAGGCCTGCTGCTGTGAATTCTCTGTGCAGCTTGGCATAACACAAATTTTATGTTACTCATATACAGCAGACCAAGTAAAAATAGAAGCAAGCAGCAAGTCTAATTTAAATGAATTCTTGTCGCCATGTTACCAGAGAACTCCCATCTTGGTTGTTTGGTATTGCCATGTTCCACTATTAGGAGGCAGCGTTATCGGCATTTTATTAAAAATTTTAAGCAAATATTTCATTAAGTGCATTTTTACTTAGTACAAAAGTATTTCCATTGAACCAATGATGAAATAATGTGTGTGTGTATTGTGCATACTGTGAAGGAGGTATGATGAGGAATGAACTTCTAATATTAAGTCCTTATTTTATCCTTTTGTAGAGATATATCTGCTCTAAACTTGTGAAAATGCTTATTACTACAGTAATAATTCACTGAAGATTACCCCAGATCCCTTGTCTTTTAAAAGTGCTTGGCCATCTATTTGTAATATAGTTATATTTGACATAGAATAATTTTTTGCTAGAAGTACTTACGTGAAATATGTGTATCCTGGCAGCTGTTAATAAACTGTTAACTTTCAAAGCTGTTGCCATATCTTCCTTTAGACATTGTGAATATTTAGCTTTTGGCTTGTAGTAAGTAGGTAAGCCAGGCACTGTTGTTTCAGTGTTTATCCCAAACTTAGCCCATTAATTCTTTGACATTTCTGTCACAACCAAATATATTCCACTGTATAATATAACATGTAAAATCTCTTTCATTAACCTTAGGGCTAAGACAGCAAAGAAATACCATGTTTCTCCCAAACTTACCAAGGATCAAGCTTCCATTAACTTGTATTGTTTGCGCTAAAGGCTGTATCCTTATACAGAAATTCTAGATTTCAGTTTCCTCAGAGGAAAAGCAAGCCTAGAGTTGGGACTATTTAAATTCAAGAAAAAAACTACAAGCACAAACATTGTCAGTTTGTTTATAATGGAAATATTTGAAACTAAAATTTAGGGAAAGTTAGTTTTATCAGTCAATTTAATGCCAGTTAAATACTATTATGAACACTACCAACGTGAACAAAAGTTTTGATACCAAATATTGATGTCTCTACTATAGTATTTCTAGAAAATTATGCACATAACTTATTTAAAGGATTGTGGGAATTTGTTTCCATTTCTATTAATGTTGGAGTGTTGTATATAGATTTTTTGAAATTCATGAAACAATTTTTTATAACAAATTGAGAACCAAAAATTTTATGAAGTAGTTTTGAAATAGCTAACTTAGTACTACTATCTGTGCTGGCACAGTTCAAACTACTGTTCACATTCTTTAATAGTCTGATGAAAGATACTATTATTCTGTTCTAAAAATGCACTTAGTGAAGTATTTGCTTAAAACTTTTAATCAAATGCTCATTAAATACTAGGTAGATACTACTATCCTACTATTTCCTCATTTAACAAAATGGTTGCCAGGATAGCTGTATATATTGATGAAATAAATGCTATAAAACCATATGAATACATTGTGCATATTGGATGGGTTTCTGAAAAAATAACTATTTCTTTAATTGTAATTTGGTTCAGATTGTTAAAAATATATAAATGGCTTGGTTTATTTCCAATATACTCTCCATACAATTGAAAATTTTTTAAGAGTCTAAATTCTAAGGAAATATTCAGAGCTTTAAAACTTACTATCAAGTATTAGTAGAAAGCAGTTTTCAAAAAGTATTTAAAGATCAGCTCACATTAACATGTTATTTATATTCAGCATATTCGAAAGAAAGCTGCAGAGTGGAAAATAAAGATAAATATTATTGCAGGTAAGACAATTTATAAGTTTCTTACAAAACAGAACTGTAAGGCAAACATGCACTAGTGCAGCTAGAATATTTATACAAGTGCTGAGGAGATACTATAGAACACGTTTTCCAGTGTGGCAAATGTGCTTGCTGGGAATGGGTTGGAAATGGAATGAAGGCAGGGTACCAGTGTTTGCCTAGATGGTCCCAATTTATGCATTCCACTGAAAATTTCTAATAGTACCCAAGTATGTGGTCACTACAGGCTAAGAGAACCCTGTATAGCATCACAGTGACAAGAACTTGGGCTCAGAGTTGGTCAGACCTCAGCTTGAAATCTATTCATGGAAAATACACTACCAAATTATAATTGTCTTTCTACTCAATTTTCTAATTGTCTCTAGAGTCAAGTAACATGAAACTTTTTTTAAGTGGGAGATACAATATAATCATCCACACTCTAAGTAAATAATATTTGATCCTTTTATTAGTAAATTGATAATATTCACAAACGTCAAAATGGGAAAAGCATGTTAATAGCTAAGTATAATCCAAATAATTCTGAAAAGCCTCAAGTAAGAGGCTTGGTAAGGGGAAATGTTTTTTACATAACCAACTACGTATTACCACTGTGATGTTTACCATATAAACAGATACATTACTATTCATAAGTAATGTAGTGTGAAAAAGGTCTATCACTCTTCCTATTTATATTCAGTATTGTCATTCCTTACCCAGTGTAAGGTATTGTAATATGCAACATGGAGCATCTTAGAACAGTTCCTGTAGCATACAAAGCCAGAACCTTGCTACTTCCAAATAATGTCCTCAGACCATCAGCACAGCCATCCCTTGGGAGCCTATTAGACTTGTTTCCCCTAACCTTTTTGGCCAGAGATGTAGGTTACGTGCTAGGTGCTAGACAGAAAAATGGCGTGACAGCATGTGGTTTATAATGTCTTTTGCTTTTAAGCATATGAGGTTATATATAAAGTTTATTTATATAGTTCATATTTAGAATCTAGTTATAAGATACTCAGGTTATAAGATTCTTTTCTAAGCTAATACCATCTTATACTCATTGTCTGCCACTTGGGCTTACACCCAAGTTATCCATCCCCATCCTATTTTAAGGTATGGGCCCTCACAATCTGGATCTAATTTCCGTATACAGTATAAACATTTTATTCTGTCATAATAATCATTTCACATTTTTTTTTTTTGAGAGAGCATCTCTCATATTTATTGATAAAATGGTTGTTAACAACAATAAAATTCAGTATAGGGGGGTCAACACTCAATGTACAATCATTAATCCATCTCAAGCCTAATTCTCGTTAGTCTCCAATCTTCTGAAGCATAACGAACAAGTTCTTACATGGTGAACGAATTCTTACAGAGTGAATAAATTCTTACATGGTGAACAGTACAAGGGCAGTCATCACAGAGACTTTCGGTTTTGATCATGCAATATGACCTATAAACAATCAGGTCAAATATGAATATTCGTTTGATTTTTGTACTTGATTTATATGTTGATCCCACATTTCTCCTATTATTATTATTTTTATTTTTAATAAAATGCTGAAGTGGTAGGTAGATGCAAGATAAAGGTAGAAAACATAGTTTAGTGCTGTAAGAAGGCAAATGTAGATGATCAGATGATCAGGTGTGTGCCTATGGACTAAGTATTAATCCAGGCTAGACAAGGGCAGCAAGACATCCACGGATGCAGAAGATTTCTCTCAAAGCAGGGGGGGTGAGGTTCTGAGCCTCACCTCTGTTGATCCCCAAATTCTCACCTGATGGCCCCCCTGCGACTGTGCCTGTCTTAGGTTGTTCCTCCCTTGAGGAATCTTACCCGTCTCTGGCTAACCAGTCATCTTCCGGGGCCATACAGGGAAATGTAAAGTTGGTAAGTGAGAGAGAAGCCATATTGTTTGCAAAGGTTAGCTTTTTACTTCTTTGCAGATTTATGCCCTGTGGCTTCTATGCCCAGCACTTGTCTCGAGGTATCTTTACCACCTGGAGGAATTATGATACTCGGTAAATTCGATATGAGGCACGAATTCTATTTAAGGGTTGTAATTAGGAAGGAAGAAGAAAAGCTATAGATGTAGCATATGAAGGAAACTTGGGAGGATTGATTATTTCTTTGACATATCTTCTTGTATAGTACCTTAAGTATGTATAGGTTTTAAACTACTAACTAATTTGCACACACATATTAACATAATAGGAATACGGTGACATAAACAAAGCAAATCTATAATTACCAGCCATCTCCAGTGAAGCCAAGAAAACCATTTAGGCACCCTAGGCATTTGTGAAAATTTATCTATGATATGATGGATATTTTCCAACTGTACTTGAACCATCAGACAAATTAAAGCAGCCCATTTCTGGGATCTGTTCACATCCCATATGTTCTTTTAACCATAGATAGTCTATAGTCATGAGATTTTGGGGTGCTACAACTTGCACCCCTCCCAACTCCTGGTTGAGTTCCAACAGTACAGATCCAGTCAAATTCGTTGTCTCACTGTATGCACATGCCAGCCTAGACATCTCCCTCCTCCTTCTTATGGCAAGTCCAGGAGACGGTGGGCTGGATGCAGCCACAACCGCAGCATCGTCCGGATCCCTGTGGAGGCTTTTTGATGATCATCCCCCGGCACGAGTCCTCCAGAGAGTGCTGATGCCGGAAGCTCCTCCTCATATCGTATCTTAGTTCATTTTCTGGGTATCCAAGCTAGGCCTTGATCTTCTGCGTAGAAACAAACAGACCCTTTGCCCACACTTTGACATGCCCTCTATACCACTGTGCAGAACTCATTGGAGGTCAGCACACAGTAACTGCTTTTTTTTTTTTTTTTAATTAAGAGAAAGGAATATTATCAGAAAAGAGTACCTCCATAGCTGATCATCTGACACCCTTTAAGTGATCAACATTAAGGATATTTAAAGCATGCGTTGATCTTTGATTTACCAATAGTTTTATCCTGTTAAGGAGTAATCCCCCTTTTCTTTCTTTCTTTCTTTTTTTTTTTTAAATTTTTAATCTACACTTACCTGAAGAATACTATGTTTACTATGCTCTCCCCTATATCAGGTCCCCCCTAACAACCACATTACGGTTACTGTCCATCAGCTTAGCAAAATGTGGTAGAGTCACTACTTGTCCTCTCTGTGTTGTGCAGCCCACCCTCCCCTTTCTCCCTCCCCCCCATGCATGCTAATCTTAATACCCCCCTTCTTCTTCCCCCCCCTTATCCCTCCCTGCCCACCCATCCTCCCCAGTTCCTTTCCCTTTGGTACCTGTTAGTCCATTTTTGGGTTCTGTAATTCTGCTGCTGTTTTGTTCCTTCAGTTTTTCCTTTGTTCCTATACTCCTCAGATGAGTGAAATCATTTGGTATTTCTCTTTCTCCGCTTGGCTTATTTCACTGAGCATAATACTCTCCAGCTCCATCCATGTTGCTGCAAATGGTTGGATTTTTCCACTTCTTATGGCTGAGTAGTATTCCATTGTGTATATGTACCACATCTTCTTTATCCATTCATCTACAGATGGACATTTAGGTTGCTTCCAATTCTTGGCTATTGTAAATAGTGCTGCGATAAACATAGGAGTGCATCTGTCTTTCTCAAACTTGATTGCTGCGTTCTTAGGGTAAATTCCTAGGAGTGGAATTCCTGGGTCAAATGGTAGGTCTGTTTTGAGCATTTTGATGCACCTCCATACTGCTTTCCACAATGGTTGAACTAATTTACATTCCCACCAGCAGTGTAGGAGGGTTCCCCTTTCTCCACAGCCTCGCCAACATTTGTTGTTGTTTGTCTTTTGGATGGCAGCTATCCTTACTGGTGTGAGGTGATACCTCATTGTAGTTTTAATTTGCATTTCTCTGATAATTAGCGATGTGGAGCATCTTTTCATGTGTCTCTTGGCCATCTGTATTTCTTTTTTGGAGAACTGTCTGTTCAGTTCCTCTGCCCATTTTTTAATTGGGTTATTTGTTTTTTGTTTGTTGAGGCGTGTGAGCTCTTTATATATTCTGGACGTCAAGCCTTTATCAGATCTGTCATTTTCAAATATATTCTCCCATACTGTAGGGTTCCTTTTTGTTCTATTGATGGTGTCTTTCGCTGTACAGAAGCTTTTCAGCTTAATGTAGTCCCACTTGCTCATTTTTGCTGTTGTTTTCCTTGCCCGGGGAGATATGTTCAAGAAGAGATCACTCATGTTTATGTCTAAGAGGTTTTTGCCTATGTTTTTTTCCAAGAGTTTAATGGTTTCGTGACTTACATTCAGGTCTTTGATCCATTTTGAGTTTACCTTTGTATATGGGGTTAGACAATGGTCCAGTTTCATTCTCCTACATGTAGCTGTCCAGTTTTGCCAGCACCATCTGTTGAAGAGACTGTCATTTTGCCATTGTATGTCCATGGCTCCTTTATCAAATATTAATTGACCATATATGTTTGGGTTAATTTCTGGGGTCTCTAATCTGTTCCACTGGTCTGTGGCTCTGTTCTTGTGCCAGTACCAAATTGTCTTGATTACTATGGCTTTGTAGTAGAGCTTGAAGTTGGGGAGTGAGATCCCCCCTACTTTATTCTTCTTTTTCAGGATTGCTTTGGCTATTCGGGGTCTTTGGTGTTTCCATATGAATTTTTGAATTATTTGTTCCAATTCATTGAAGAATGTTGCTGGTAATTTGAGAGGGATTGCATCAAATCTGTATATTGCTTTGGGCAGGATGGCCATTTTGACGATATTAATTCTTCCTAGCCATGAGCATGGGATGAGTTTCCATTTATTAGTGTCCCCTTTAATTTCTCTTAAGAGTGACTTGTAGTTTTCAGAGTATAAGTCTTTCACTTCCTTGGTTAGGTTTATTCCTAGGTATTTTATTCTTTTTGATGCAATGGTGAATGGAATTGTTTTCCTGATTTCTCTTTCTATTGATTCGTTGTTAGTGTATAGGAAAGCTACAGATTTCTGTGTGTTGATTTTGTATCCTGCAACTTTGCTGTATTCCGATATCAGTTCTAGTAGTTTTGGAGTGGAGTCTTTAGGGTTTTTTATGTACAGTATCATATCATCTGCAAATAGTGACAGTTTAACTTCTTCTTTACCAATCTGGATTCCTTGTATTTCTTTGTTTTGTCTGATTGCCGTGGCTAGGACCTCCAGTACTATGTTAAATAACAGTGGGGAGAGTGGGCATCCCTGTCTGGTTCCCGATCTCAGTGGAAATGCTTTCAGCTTCTCGCTGTTCAGTATAATGCTGGCTGTGGGTTTATCATATATGGCCTTTATTATGTTGAGGTACTTGCCCTCTATTCCCATTTTGCTGAGAGTTTTTATCATGAATGGATGTTGAATTTTGTCAAATGCTTTTTCAGCATCTATGGAGATGATCATGTGGTTTTTGTCTTTCTTTTTGTTGATGTGGTGGATGATGTTGATGGATTTTCGAATGTTGTACCATCCTTGCATCCCTGGGATGAACCCCACTTGGTCATGGTGTATGATCCTTTTGATATACTGTTGAATTCTGTTTGCTAATATTTTATTGAGTATTTTTGCATCTACATTCATCAGGGATATTGGTCTGTAATTTTCTTTTTTGGTGGGGTCTTTGCCTGGTTTTGGTATTAGGGTGATGTTGGCTTCATAGAATGAGTTTGGGAGTATTCCCTCTTCTTCTATTTTGTGGAACACTTTAAGGAGAATGGGTATTATGTCTTCTCTGTGTGTCTGATAAAATTCCGAGGTAAATCCGTCCGGCCCCGGGGTTTTGTTCTTGGGTAGTTTTTTGATTACTGTTTCAATTTCTTTGCTTGTAATTGGTTTGTTTAACTTTTGTGTTTCTTCCTTGGTCAGTCTTGGGAGGTTGTATTTTTCTAGGAAGTTGTCCATTTCTTCTAGGTTTTCCAGCTTGTTGGCATATAGGTTTTCATAGTAGTCTTTAATAATTCTTTGTATTTCTGTGGAGTCTGTCGTGATTTTTCCATTCTCATTTCTGATTATGTTGATTTGTGTTGACTCTCTTTTTCTCTTAATAAGTTGGGCTAGAGGCTTATCTATTTTGTTTATTTTCTCAAAGAACCAGCTCTTGGTTTCGTTGATTTTTGCTATTGTTTTATTCTTCTCAATTTTGTTTATTTCTTCTCTGATCTTTATTATGTCCCTCCTTCTGCTGACTTTAGGCCTCATTTGTTCTTCTTTTTCCAGTTTTAATAATTGTGATGTTAGACTATTCATTTGGGATTGTTCTTCCTTCTTCAAGTGTGCCTGGATTGCTATATACTTTCCTCTTAAGACTGCTTTCGCTGCATCCCACAGAAGTTGGGGCTTAGTGTTGTTGTTGTCATTTGTTTCTATATATTCCTTGATCTCTATTTTGATTTGTTCATTGATCCATTGATTATTTAGTAGCATGTTGTTAAGCCTCCATGTGTTTGTGAGCCTTTTTGTTTTCTTTGTAGAATTTATTTCTACTTTCATACCTTTGTGGTCTGAAAAATTGGTTGGTAGAATTTCAATATTGTGGAATTTACTGAGGCTCTTTTTGTGAGCTAGTATGTGGTCTATTCTGGAGAATGTTCCATGTGCACTTGAGAAGAATGTATATCCTGTTGCTTTTGGATGTAAAGTTCTATAGATGTCTATTAGGTCCATCTGTTCTAGTGTGTTGTTCAGTGCCTGTGTGTCTTTACTTATTTTCTGCCCGGTGGATCTATCCTTTGGGGTGAGTGGTGTGTTGAAGTCTCCTACAATGAATGCATTGCAGTCTATTTCCCTCTTTAGTTCTGTTAGTATTTGCTTCACATATGCTGGTGCTCCTGTATTGGGTGCATATATATTTAGAATGGTTATATCCTCTTGTTGGACTAAGCCCTTTATCATTATGTAGTGGCCTTCTTTATCTCTTGTTACTTTCTTTGTTTTGAAGTCTATTTTGTCTGATATTAGTACTGCAACCCCTGCTTTCTTCTCACTGTTGTTTGCCTGAAATATGTTTTTCCATCCCTTGACTTTTAGTCTATGCTTATCTTTGGGTTTAAGGTGAGTTTCTTGTAAGCAGCATATAGATGGGTCTTGCTTTTTTATCCATTCTATTACTCTATGTCTTTTGATTGGTGCATTAAGTCCATTTACATTTAGGGTGACTATTGAAAGATATGTACTTATTGCCATTGCAGGCTTTAGATTCGTGGTTACCAAAGGTTCAAGGTTAGCTTCTTTAGTATCTTACTGCCTAACTTAGCTCGCTTATTGAGCTGTTATATACACTGTCTGGAGAGTCTTTTCTTCTCTCCCTTCTTATTCCTCCTCCTCCATTCTTCATATGTTGTGTGTTTTGTTCTGTGCTCTTTTTAGGGGTGCTCCCATCTAGAGCAGTCCCTGTAGGATGCCCTGTAGAGGTGGTTTGTGGGAAGCAAATTCCCTCAGCTTTTGCTTGTCTGGGAATTGTTTGATCCCACCATCATATTTAAATGATAGTCGTGCTGGATACAGTATCCTTGGTTCAAGGCCCTTCTGTTTCATTGCATTAAGTATATCATGCCATTCTCTTCTGGCCTGTAGGGTTTCTGTTGAGAAGTCTGATGTTAGCCTGATTGGTTTTCCTTTATAGGTGACCTTTTTCTCTCTAGCTGCCTTTAAAACTCTTTCCTTGTCCTTGATCCTTGCCATTTTAATTATTATGTGTCTTGGTGTTGTCCTCCTTGGATCCTTTCTGTTGGGGGTTCTGTATAATTCCATGGTCTGTTCGATTATTTCCTCCCCCAGTTTGGGGAAGTTTTCAGCAATTATTTCTTCAAAGACACTTTCTATCCCTTTTCCTCTTTCTTCCTCTTCTGGTATCCCTATAATACGAATGTTTTTCCTTTTGTATTGGTCACATATTTCTCTTAGTGTTGTTTCATTCCTGGAGATCCTTTTATCTCTCTCTATGTCAGCTTCTATACGTTCCTGTTCTCTGGCTTCTATTCCTTCAATGGCCTCTTGCATCTTATCCATTCTGCTTATAAATCCTTCCAGGGATTGTTTCACTTCTGTGATCTCTTTCCTGACATCTGTGATCTCCTTCCGGACTTCATCCCACTGCTCTTGCATTTTTCTCTGCATCTCATCCCACTGCTCTTGCATTTTTCTCTGCATCTCATCCCATTGCTCTTGCATTTTTTTCTGCATCTCTGTCAGCATGTTCATGATTTTTATTTTGAATTCTTTTTCAGGAGGACTAGTTAGGTCTGTCTCCTTCTCAGGTGTTGTCTCTGTGATCTTTGTCTGCCTGTAGTTTTGCCTTTTCATGGTGATAGAGATAGTTTGCAGAGCTGGTACAAGTGACCGCTGGAAGAGCTTCCCTTCTTGTTGGTTTGTAGCCTTTTCCTGGGAGAATAGCGACCTCTAGTGGCTTGTGCTGGGCAGCTGTGCGCAGACAGGGCTTCTGCTTCCTGCCCAGTTGCTTTGGGGTTTATCTCCGCTGTTGCTGTGGGCTTGGCCTGGCTGGGGCTGTTCCTCCAAAATGGTGGAGCCCCGTTGGAGGGGGAGCAGCCAGGAGACTATTTATCTCCGTAAGGGGCCTCTGTGCTCCCTGCTGCCCAGGGGGTTAGAGTGCCCAGAGATCCCCAGATTCCCTGCTTCTGGTCTAAGTGACCTGTCCTGCCCCTTTAAGATTTCCAAAAAGCACTCTCCAAACCAAAACAACAACAGCAACAATGAGAGAGGGAACAGAAAGGAAAAAAAAAAGAAAAAACACGCGATTTTTTTTTTTTTTTCCCCAGGTGCCGGTCCCAGGCACCCGCGCACTGGTCCTGCTGCCCTGTCTCCCTAGCACCAGGGTCCCTGTCCTTTCAAGGCTTCCAAAAAGCACCCACCCACCGGTCCCGCAGGGAAGGAACGCTCAATATTCTTGGTCCTCAGGCACTGGTCCCACGCACCCGCTCACCAGTCCCGCCGCCCTGCCTCCCTAGCACCGGGGTCCCTGTCCCTTCAAGGCTTCCAAAAAGCACTCGGCAAAAAGAGAGAAAAAAAAGGGGAAAAACGCGCGATTTCTTCCGTCCTCAGGTGCTGGTCTCAGGCACCCACCCACCGGTCCCACAGGGAAAAATGCGGGATATTCTTTGTCCTCAGGTGCCGGTCCCAGGCACCCGCTCACCAGTCCCGCCGCCCTGCCTCCCTAGCACCGGGGTCCCTGTCCCTTTTAGGCTTCCAAAAAGCACTCGCAGAAAAGAGAAAAAAAAAAGGGGAAAAACGCGCGATTTCCTCTGTCCTCAAGTGCCGGTCTCAGGCACCCGCCCACCGGTCCCGCAGGGAAAAACGGGGGATATTCTTTGTCCTCAGGCGCCGGTCCCAGCCACCCGCTCACCAGTCCCGCCACCGTGCCTCCCTAGCACTGGGGTCCCCGTCCCTTCAAGGCTTCCAAAAAGCGCTCGCCAAAAAGAGAAAAAAAAAAAAAGGGGAAAAACGCGCGACCTCCTCCGTCCTCAGGCACCGGTCTCAGGCACCCGCCCCCAGGTCTCGCAGGGAGAAACGCGGGATATTCTTTGTCCTCCGGCGCCGTTCCCAGGCACCTCCTCACCGGTCCCGCCACCCTGCCTCCCCAGCAACGGGGGCCCGTCCCTCTAAGGCTTCCAAAAAGCGCTCGCCAAAAAAAAAAAAACCGCTCCGGTTTCTCTCCACCCGCCGGGAGCCGGGGGGAGGGGCGCTCGGGTCCCGCCGGGCTGGGGCTTGTATCTTACCCCCTTCACAAGGCGCTGGGTTCTTGCAGGTGTGGATGTGGTCTGGATGTTGTCCTGTGTCCTGTGGTCTCTATTTTAGGAAGATTTTTCTTTGTTATATTTTCATAGCTCTATGTGTTTTTGGGAGGAGATTTCCACTGCTCTACTCACGCCGCCATCTTGGCTCCGCCTCTCATTTCACATTTTTAACTCCTTGCATCTTTCCTCTCATGTCCATAGGCAGTATGGTTTTCTAGCTCTTTTCATCCTCTCATATAGTGTGCTACTTTGCCATTGATGTAACAGTATTTTATGTTTTCATCATAAATTCCTGTGTAAGGGATATCTGTAAATGTCCATCTGTCTATTTTGCCCATTGACTTCTTTCCCCTGGGAGGATACCAGAGGCGTCCCCTTATTTTATAAACAACATGGGGAGGCCCCTGACCGTGGAGATTATTGGATCTTTTAGTTTCACTTTGCTGTTTCATGTAACTTTCTAATAAAAATGGGATTTTCAGTGGCCCAAGTTCCCGTAATTCTTTCTTAGCCAATCCAGTAAAGAAGTCTTCATTAGTCATGTTTGTGTTATTGCAAAAGGGGGAACAGGCCATATCTAATTCTGTGAATATTTTAGGTTGTAATGTAATTGCTCATGGCAGCATGCGTGGGATGGTAAGTCCCAGAGCACTGCTTTCGTTCCCAGCACTATTATTTTGATCATAGCTTTGGGTCAGATTAGGGTTAGATTGTTAGTCAAAGTATTTGTCATGAAAATTTTCCCATACATGAATCCAATTATCAGCATCATAACTGCAAAAACAAATACAGGGACTAACAAGGGGCCAGCTGTGAGGTTTCCTGACTTTCAGGATTCCTCCTGGTGCCTGGACCTTGTCAAACAGCATGAGTAGCATGGCCCGTGCCAACTGCCATCAACTGATCAGTAGTAAGTTTAGAATAGCTAGACTACTGCCATCAATTGAAAAGTAAATTGGTTTTTACTTGAGAGTTTAGTAGGGAAATAACTAATATAACTACATTACTACCATTACTAAAATCCAGGTAAGTTTTTCAAATAAGCATTGTTAGGAGATTGCTAAACTATAGATTATTAGCAAATTAAAATTAGGGAGGTACTATCATTTTCAAAGGATATACTTTTTTTGTCCTCATCACCCTTCTAACTTCCTCATGACCTCAAATTTCCACAACTAATATATAAGTCATGGGGATATATATGAAGTCAGCCCTTGTGTAAGTCAAGGTGACAGGACTAAAATATTGAGCTTACCAGCATTTAATACTTGCGGGGTTTTTTTTGAGTCAAGTGTGGTAAATGTTTGAAAATGTAATTTTTATCCTTTGATGGCTTTTGTTTTTCTAGAGCTGCGATACGACCTGCCAGCATCATACAAGTTTCATAAGAAGAAATCAGTTAAGTCTCTTGATTTTGGCTTATTTACATTTAGTACTGAAAAACTTTGCAGTAATCAATAGCCAGTGCTCGTTTAGGATAAATTCTTAAGTGCTTTGGGCACAAAAAGAAAAACTAAGATTTTGCTCTTTTTATGTATGTTTTATTGGTTTGTACTAATACATTCTCATATTACAAAGGCAATGTAGCGGAAGAATCCTTTGATATTTGAATTATCTGCAATAACACAAAACAACTATACATTAAAAAAAGAAATCTTCATTTGGATTAACAAAAAAACAACAAAAAACTTTCCTTTCTTGCAGGTGGACATTGATGTGGACCTAATTCGGTTTTCTTTTTAAAAGCCTCCTAAGACAAAAGCAGCTTAAAACCTAATTAAGATGAGTAAAAAAAATGTCTACTCAACTACTGATCTCCAGCACCATTTTCTGTTTTCTGTTGTTTTGATGCAGGTTCTTCTTTGTCTGTTTCTTCTCTTGCTCTTTTTACCAGTCCTATGCAACAAGAGAATTAACTTCTGTTAAGTTTACTGTATTACTCTATTTTCATACTGAGCCTGAAAAATAATTGTTTAAAAAGATTTACAGTAACTTCCTACACCAATGAGAAAAGTATTTTCCTTTTGTACAGACTTGTTCTCTAATCTTACCTTCCACACATCTGTTTCCCACTTGTCAAACAGAATACCCAGTATCCCAATCCAAAACGTCACTTATACAGAAGTTGAAAAACCACTTGCCATTCTGTCCCACAAATAATTTCTTATGAAAGTACTAAAGGAGTAAAAAGCTTACCCGAGCAGTAAAGACAAGTAGTGACTCTATAGCGTCTTACTATGCTGATGAACAATGACTGTAATGGGGTATGTGGTAGGGAGCTTATGTATATTAGTGATACCAAAATAAAATTTAAAAAATTAAAAAAAAAAACTTACCTGATGCACGATTTTCATCATGTTCTTCATCACTATCAAATTTAGTTTTCTTGCCCTGAAACTGTACTTTTCCTTTAGCAGACCCAGTCTGGGCAGTTTTATTTCCCTTTCCTTTTCCTTTAAATCTGCGACCTGTGGAGACATAATGCAGAAATCAGTAAAGAAATGTTTTAAATCTCTTGTCAATGTCTTTCAACACATTAAATTTTTTTCTTCACATTAAATTTTTTACTCAAGCAAATGAATTAAAATAACAACTGTCAAAGAAAAATCAGAACTAAGGACCTTTTGACTTCCATTTGCTTAGGGATTCTTGTTGATCTTCAATGATTTTTTTCAATGCTTCTTTTTCCACATCTCCTTCTAGTACTTCCCATGTCACTTCTTTGTTTCTTAATTGTAAGTTACCATTATTTGCATCTTTGGCTTTATCCAGTGCTTCCTTAGCTCTTTCTTTAAATAGAATTATTCCCTACAGCAAAGACAGATGAAAGCCACATCCTATTTAGTACCACAGTTAATTTCTTCACACAAACTATTTTTCCTACACTGCAAACCTTGCACACCATTACCAGTTTCAATGAATTTTACTGAACATCAGGAACTTACTGTAAAACTTCAAGTCTTAACAGTTATTCACAGCAAAATTCAGAAAATATGAGACATCACATCCAGTGATAGTAACAAAATGGAAAGTAAATGATCAAGTAGAAACTATTCACAAACACATTAATAAAAAATTGCTTTTCTATTAATTTTATCTTCTAAAAGGTAAGTTTCTATGGATTTTTAAGCTGATTGCTAAAAAGCATATGAATGTTTCCAAACCTCTTTTGCTCCTCTGACAAAGTCTATCCATTTTATTTCACCATGATTTGAGAAAAGGATGTGCAAATCTTCTCTACAGGTCTGATCATCTAAGTCACCTGAAAACTTCAGCAAGCAGCCAATCTTTTCTTCTAAAGATTTCTACAAAAATATACAAAGTAATAAAAAAGTTTCTTAATGCAACCACCAGTCAGAAATGGCTTATACCACTCTATACCTACACAAGGAAAAAGCTAGAAATTAAAATGCTGTTTTGAAGTAGGTTAATGGTGCACTTCCCTTTGTCGTCCTTTGTTTTACAGTGGCTTCTGATTTTAACTCACCTAATATCTCCAAGTAGTATTTGTTGTTGTGTGATATTAGTTATGTCTGTACTACTAAGTAGTAATTTTAGCCAATATTATTTGGCTATAACTTCAGTGTAGTGACAACTACAGAATTTTTTCCATATATTCTTTAATGTTCAGTCTCATAATTATGGATTACAAGATTACAAGATTTCTTAGATACCATTAATACTCACCATTTCAGCATTTTCTGCTAACTTTTGTTTTTCTTCCTGCTCTCTACAAATAAAAATGTAATTAGAATGTTTCCATTCACTGTGAAAAAAATTAAATCCTGATAAAGTTAACTTTGATCATGATCACTAAACTAATTAGTAACCAAAGCCAATCCTTAGGTTTCCTGATGGTCTGATGCTAGAATGCAACAGAGTGGCCCCAGGGTTATCAAGGCAGCTTATGACCTCAATATTTCACTAGCAAAAGAAGAGCCTACTGCTACTCATTTCAGTGCACCTGAGCTCCACTTCCTGGAACCACTTAACTCTACCCCCTTGTCAAAGCTTTAAGGAATTAAAATGTTATGATTAGCTCAACATACTTACTGTTTAGCTCGTAATTTAGCTTCCACTTTATTTTGCTTCCTTTCTTCATTTTTTTTTGCGAAGTAATCTTCCCTAAAGGACACAACATAGAGGCTAAAGTTACTCTAAATGATTTAAGACAAAGTACAGGAAGGAATATTTTCTATCTAAAAATTAAAAAGATGCCAAGGCAGTTACTTATTTTTTAATAACAGCTTCACTGAAAGATAATTCACATACCATAAAATTCACCTGTTTAAAGTGTACAATTCAAATGTTTTTTAATATATTCAGAATCACCTCTGAATCAGTACTAAGATCCAGTTACTACTATCTAACCACTACTAATTTCAGAATATTTTCATGACCCCCAAAAGAAACCTCATATCCACAACAATCTCATGTTGGTTTTCATTTATCATTCATGTACAGAAAAAATACAAATAAACCAGAAGTGATGTTTCATAATTTTTTAGTATTTCACAGAAGAAAAATCTAAAATCCCTCAGACCAATTAAGAATTATGAAAATCACATGTTAAAAAATACTTTTTGAGGCTCTAACACTGATGATTCATCACAGTGCATCTCCAAGTCCATCAGGTTTAATACATAGCATTTAAAAGATTGTATAATAAAAAAGTAGGAGACTATGACCATATAACTAACTTTATTATGAAAATGTTCTCGTTCATCCTAATTTGTGGACACACACAGGCGTATTAAAGAATATAGTCCAACTCTCTTAAATAATCTTGTATGGTATAAAAAGTTAACATGTATATATACAGACCAAGAAATATGAAGAGAAAAATTGTACAATGATTTCTTCTCTAACCACACCAAAAGCCCAAATTTTAGTATCAGTCTGTTAAGTACTAAAACTTAGCCTACTTTATTAACTGCTAACAGTGAAAAGGTACTAATAAACACTTTCCTATAGTCTCAAAGGACTAGTAATTCACACTGAGCAAATTTCTAGCATTTCTCAAAGGATACCTAAGGATACTAAAAATACTGGCCTTACAGGGGATGCTATCTATCCCATGCATCTTAGCCCAGTGCCTCTTCCATAGAACTAAATGATAGCCAGAAGAAACATCAGCAAAAAGACTTACTTGAAAAGTATTAGCAGGTCCGTGTCTTTGTACTTCTGGCCAGAGGTCTCAACGAACTTCTTAGCAGAGTCAATGCTATCAAACACAGCAAATATTGATCCCTATTTAAACGGGAAGACAAATTTTTGAAAGTTATGTCCCATATATTTTCAACTACAAAAAGTCTGTAACATTACCCAACCATACCTTAAATGCTTTGTGCAATGTTCTTCTCATCTGAATATTTAGTACTTGACCTTTATCTTCTAACCACTCTTTTATGTCATCAAGGGTTGCATCAGTTGGGAAGCCTTTCTGTGAGTAGTAGGGAGAAATACACAAATGACTTCTCAGAAAAAAAACAAACCATTCACTAGAAATTGATTCATTTTGTTCTGAAGCCAAGCTCTGCGTCTCTTAAATGTCTAACAGCTCGGGTTAAGAGCCATTGTTGTCTAGTTCAACAAAAGTGACTTACTGATCTGGGATTCACTTCAAAATAATCCAGTTGGGGCAGAGATAAACCAAGATTAATCATATGTTAATAACCGTCCACGTTGGGTAATGGTACATTATCTATTCAGTCTACTTTTGAATTTCTGGTATTTTCCAGAATAAAAAAATATATACTTAAATATGCTAAAAAGAATTGCTATTAAGTTTAGCTACTTATAAATAAGAACAGTTGATATGCACTAGGTGCTTAAAATATGCCAAAGATTTTGTATAATAGTGGATGGAATTTTTTTTCATTTAATTCTCTCAATAGTTCTACAAGGTAAAAAATAATATCCCCATTTATGAAGGTAAGGCTTAGAAAGGTTAAGAACATTGCCCAAGGACATTACACTACATGGTGAAACTATGATTCCTGAGCCCTTATTCTTAATACACCCCACTATATATTCTTTCTAAATAAATTTAAAATACAATTAAATGCATTAAAGACCAACTTACAATATAAACAGATCTGTTTTTTACATCATTTTTATACTCATCAGTCACTTCAGGGAGGGGTTTGGTTGGAGATCTTCGGATTTTAGTTTTATCTTCACTTATTTCCATGAGTTCTGCCTTTGATTTACTCAGTGCTTCTACTATTACATTAAAGTCTGTTGTTAGACGGTTTAACCTGAATATACATAAAAGAATTATAACACTTAATAGTAGAACTTGTTAATAAAAAATCTAAAGATGATTTTTAAAAAGGTTTTTACCTATTGAATTTTATCATTATCTCCAGAGGTACCCAGCCTTCATCCAGTTTAATCTGTTCCTTTAAAAATTTGTCCCGAGGTAAATTGAAATCACCAAAATAATACTGCAAGATAATTACAATTTATTTCAGAGCATTGTATAATATTGACTCTGATCCTGGAGTTTCTTTTCTTACCATTGCATCACTAAGTTCTAATCTATTAAAAATAACGTCATAGGAGGCAAAAAACACTCTCCTACATACACTAAAATGCAAAATATTTATAACAAATTAAGAAAAAGGGCAAACTAAAAATTGGATTACTGAAAATATAATTGATAGATAGGTCAATAGATTAGAAAGCCCTAGATATAAAAATATATTTAAGGATTTAGCATATGAAAAGTCTCATTTCAAATCAGTGTAGAAAGAATAGATTATTAAACAAAAGGAATTGGAATAAACTGGTTAATCACTAATTTTTAAAAGTTAAAAAATAAGCATTTATCTATTTTAAGTAGAAAGGTATTCTTTCTCAGTATAAAAAAACTACACATGAAAATAGCCAAGTGTGACTACCTGATATGCCAAAAGTAGCATAAAAAGTAAATAACATGTAAGTTTGTTAATAAGTCTTATAACTTAAGGCAAATTTAAATAACCAAAAATAATACTGCAGGATAATTATAACATATTTCAGAGCATTGCATAATATTCTGATTCTGAAGAAAGAAACATTCATTTTGGCTAACAGAAAAAGAGACATTAAAAATAGAAATGTACTACAAACATTTAAAAAGTTCAACTACATTATTAATCACATGCAATTTAAAACAACTGAAATAGCATTTTTCACCTAACAAATTGGCCCAATTCTAAAAACAAGAATACCTAGTATTGGCCTGAACGTAGTAATGGTCATACAGGTAGGAATGTATACTGGCAATAAGTGACAAAACTTAAAAAAAATTATGCATAATCCTTGAGCCAGTACTTCTCCTAGGAATTTTACCTTAAATCAGTAAACATGTTTACTAAGATTTATATATAAAAATATTCATCACAGCACAATCACAACTAAAAAATTGAAAATATACTACATATCAAATAGGGGATTGGGTTAATTTTTGACATAAATTTTACTCCCCCCAAAATGCATTCCATGTTCGGTGGGGGAAAGTATGTTGGTGAGAGCACCAACCAACCAAAGTGTGAAAGGGTATTCATCTGGCTTTTAGCCCTTGATTACCTCAGGAGGGTGGGATTTGAGAGGCGGCAGGTTGTTGAAGAGCCATTAACTTTTTCTATATACAGCTTTATATTGTTCTAAATATTAAACACAAAATAAATCATCTGTAATTTTTCTTAAAATCGTAAGGAAAACACTAAAGAAAGTTGTAAAATAGGAAATTTGAAATGGCAGAGAAGCACAACTTAAAAGACACCAAACAATATGATCTTAAGTTTCTCAGAATACAAATGACTTAAATTATGCTATAATTTCTCATGGAGCCATTATTGACACTGTAAAGCTTCAACTTAAATACCTACGTTCAAAAAAATGCTAAAAGGACTTTGAAAACAGGTATTATGTTAGAAGTTACAATAGCGGAGAACTAACTGGGCAGAAAAAAACTAGTAGGACCTTTAAGAATAGAAAGTGTTATTTAACAGAGAAGGTACTTTACAAAGAATTCTTATGTGCCAGGCACTCCACTAAATGTTTACATTTTACTAAACGAAGGTAATCCTCACAAACACCTTAAGAAGAGTGTACTATTATCCCCAATTTATAGACTAGGAAACTAAAGCAAAAAAAAAAAAAAAAAGTAGCACTAGTTTACAGTGTTATCTTTTGAAATGTTTGTAGTGCTTAGGTACAGAAAACTACTTACTCTTACATGTTAATCTAATTCCAAGAATCAAAGGCAAGCCAAATAGGACAGTATGACATTAAATGTTCCTTCTGTATTCGTTTTGAGACCCTAAATTTCCTTTCAAAGGGCTTGTTTTTGCAGTTTAATAGCACAAGAATCATACCTCAATTTGATGACAGATTTTGGCCTCAAGAGCAGCCATTTTTTCATTATCGCCATTTTCGGCCATTGTGGCTATCTGTAAATTTTCCCAAATTAGCATAAAGAAGTTATTTTTTTTTATATAAAACTCAATACCAGAAAAAAAATGTTTTGAAATGATCACTATCGCATTGTTTTCTTAAATATCAGCAATTTTTAATTTCACAGGTTTGATTACTCAATTCTCAAATGTCAACAAAAGAAAACTTTGGAACAAGTGATGTAAAGTTGAAAAGCTATCAATAATCCACACAATTTTCAGTAAATCACTGTTCCATCTTCTATAACAAGCAAGTGGTTATCTTCATTTTTTGGGGTCAAGAAAAGTTTTGGGGGAAAAACTGGTCAAGAAAAGTTTTGGGGGAAAAACTCCAACTACTCACCAAACATTTCCAGCTTTAAGCAGAACACTATGTATCAGTATATTACTTTGGACCTCAGTCCTATATATTTTGGTGTGGGTCACATTTCTTTCAAAATTAATCACAGCTTACGTGCCAAAAACTTCTCAGCAAAGATTAAGTATCATAACTTTAGGTGAAAAAAAATTCACTTACTACAGTCAGGGTTAGATTAGTTGCTGCCTGTTAAAGAACATATGAAAATGATAATTTGTGAGGGCATGGACACTAAAATAACGTTAAATGGGTGTATACCTACTAATACACTAACATACTAGTCAATCTTGCAGCCAGTTTCCTATTTCACACCCCTGACATTAACAATGCAGGAAACAACGAAGGTTGTGAGGTTGGTTTGCTAGAGATCACAAAACAAGTCTTCTGACATCAAATTGCTAGCTTCTGGTGCTCTATTTAGCCAGTCATCCATCCACTTTGTACAGAAGTATATTTTTAAGATTTCATCATGGGTGTCTACCATTGACTCTACTGAAGAACTATCATTAACTACACTTAAGAGATATAGCTTTAAACACTATAATTGCTATGCAATAACCTAGATGCACCCTGGAAGCTCTTGCAATAAGAATTTGGATGGTACACATCCCAATACAAAATTTGCTTAATCATACGTATTGCTTTGACGACCACAATCAACATTCCTAAATTATCATGACCTAGAGCCCCTTATAAAGCAAGGGAACTATGTAACCCTTAGAAGACTTCTCTGGCCTATCCAATTTTGGAATTTCGTTTCATGAAATACTTTCCTTATGAAATATACCCACACTTTCCCATTTCGCACAGAAGCTTTGATGTGAGCGTATGAGGACCTTAAAAACCCAAGAGGGATGCCAGAACACCTGCCCCAGTCTGTCCCACAGGATACAACGAACCCTCCAACACCTAACCCACGCCAACCTCCCCAGAACCCCACTCAGGGGGCGGGAAACACCCGCCTTCGGATACGCGGGAAAGCTGTGGAGGAAGGAAGCCTTTACGGCGCAGCGGGGTTGCGGACAGCCCCGTCTCAAAGCAGCCACCACTGCTCGCCTGAGCCCCGGCCCGCGGCAGGAACCCTCGCTCCCGCCCTCCCCGAAGGGGCGGCTCGGCAGCTCGTGCGCCCGCGCCCCTACGCTCGCATAGGGCGCCCCGCCTGGGCCCACGCGGCGCGCGCCGGGACGGGAAGCAGGCACGCGGTGACGCGCCCACTGTGAGACGGCCGCGCAGGAGCGCGCCACCGCGCCCCACGCGAAGGAGGCCCTTTTGTACCGTCCTCTCTTGAGCCACCGAGGGTTGCTCACCTGAAGGTCCAGGCCCTGCAGAGCTCCGCCACAGGACCACTTACAGCGACGGCACTGACTGGGTTTCGAAGCGCCGCTGGGGGCCTGACGCGCGAAAGGAAGATGGGGGCCGTCCCAGGAGCCCTTGCGGCCAGAGCGGGCGGGGCTGGTGACGGGCCGACGCCAGCCCGCGCTGTGAGCATGCGCGCGGACGGCGGCTCTACGGCGCGGAGTCCCGCCCTCACTGCGAGGACATCGGGTTGGAGTATTGGGCCCGGAACTGGAAGGAGAGTGTTTGGATAAGTACTTATTTTTCAGTAGGTACTGACGGCGTTTGTATTCAGCCCTTACTCAGCTTCTCCATTCATATGAAGTATTTTGGCTTTTGTTTTATCAGATTATACTTTTCAAAAAGATTATTTTATTTCGTTACATCATGTAATAATTCTGAAAAAAATAACAATTATTAAAGTTTTTAAAAATCAAGGATTCATAAAATCTTAGAGTTAAGAAGACAATACAGTAGAGTGTTTAAAGCTTGGAGTCTGGAATCAGACTGTGTTCAAATAGCAATATCCCAGTTCACAGACTGTGTGACCTTGGACAAGTTACTCAACTGCTCTGTCCTCATGTTAAAGTGGGCCAGTGATAAAATATCACCTATTTCCTATAGTTGTGGGCATTATACACGATATACCTTGCTCAGATCTGCCTGACATATAGCAACAAAAGCAACATACGTTAATTTAAAACAAAAAATGTGATTATAAAAGAACAAAATGCCATATAGTGCAGAAGCCTGTTGCCTCTGCTACAGCCATTTACTATTAGTATATGTTTTTTGGTTTTTTTTGAGAGGGCATCGCTCATATTTATTGATCAAATGGTTAACAACAATAAAATTCTGTATAGGGGACTCAATGCACAATCATTAATCAACCCCAAGCCTAATTCTCAACAGTCTCCAATCTTCTGAAGCTTAACGAACAAGTTCTTACATGGTGAACAAATTCCTACATAGTGAACAAGTTCTTACATGGTGAACAGTGCAAGGGCAGTCATATCACAGAAACTTTCAGTTTTGATCACGCATCATGAACTATAAACAATCAAGTCCGATATGATTATTCGTTTGATTTTTATACGTGATTTATATGTGAATCCCACATTTCTCCCTTATTATATTATTATTATTTTTTAAATAAAATTCTGAAGTGGTAGGTAGATGCAAAATAAAGGTAGAAAACATAATTTAGTGCTGTAAGAGGGCAAATGTAGATGATCAGGTCTGTGCCTATAGACTAAGTATTAATCCAAGCTATTAGTATATGTTTTGCACAATAATTTTACTCACTTAATTTCAGGGAACTTTTCCTTGTGTTGAGGCCATCTTTTATTTTCCCTCATTTTTCTTGAAAATTTAAAATGATAATGGTGAAATAGCCTGTTTAAGTGATCTCAGGACTTCTTGACAGCCCCCAAACAAATCAAATGTATTTATTTGGAAAGAAAAATTCATTTACAGATTCACTCCAGACATTGCATCAAGCCAATGAGAAGAAAAAAGAGAACTATGCTCTGGTGGTTTAAATTCAGATTAATCAGTTCTCTTTTATTCCTTCAAACATTTATCTAGTATCAACTTTGTGCCAGACATAATTAAAAACTTAATTCTTGTTTTGATCAAGTCACTGAGAATATAGATATTTAACGGAACAAATCACATGTGTCAGGGTACTCTCTCTCATCCATTCAGCAAACTGTTTTATTACGTGCCTGCCAATAAACTGGTATGGAGCTTGGCACTGGGAATAAGAAGACCAAACTCGTGTAACTCTGTGGGGCAAATCCTGGGGCAAAATACCTTTGAAACGGAAATCAGTCAAAAGAGAAATAAAGTGGGAGAAACCTATTTATTGAGTACAAGCAGTCTTCCACTACTGCTCGGCCATGTCTCTTGCATCCCAGCTGTAGAAGAAGGGGACCCCACCCAACCTCTCCAGTTCAGATATGCCCTTGCTTGCCCTTATAATTACCTATTGATATGGAGATAGACTACTTCTTTCCACCCTTGGAAACACCTATTGATATGGAGATGCACTAAGGCTGGGCGAGAGATTCTAGAAATATTGCAATTTTACATGGACCCCACCCCTCCAGAAAGCTCACCTCATAATCTACACACTCCCCATCTTCCACAATGGCCCCTGTGCAAGAAAACTGGAGCACTGTAAATAGACTAATAACAATAACAATATAATCCTCAAACCAGAGGATTCAGCTGAATTCAAAGTCCTTTGCAGATTAAGTCCATAGCTCACCCATCCCACAGTCAGTAGCTGAACAGACAGGGAGTTCAGAGTAATCATCACACAGCACATGCAGATGGGGTGGGTCCAGGCCATAGGGACTGTAAAAGAAAATAACCTTAAGGGCAATAAGATACATGTTTTAATGACACCAGCATAGGCAAATATTGTCCATCAGGTAGGATACATTCAGAGAGTGGTCCTGTGATAGGACAGTGGCAGGAATGGGATCTCATCCTGGCCTAGTATACCAGACTTTCACTCCCCTCCCTGTGGGAGTTACAGATAGGTCAATATATAGGGCTATGGGAGGTACATGCACTGGCCATAAACATAAAACTTCCCCATAAGATGCTCTTACCTCCTGGACATTTTGGGTACACTACTGTGATCTTTGGGGGTCACTCTGCTGTTACTCCAGGAATATACATGAGGTCAGCTTCCAGGCCTTGTCCCCAAGGTGCCAGAAGGGCCAGCCATCACTTGTCCCTGTGTTGAAATCTCCAGGGCCACGTCCACTAACAGTGTATGCAGGATTTAATACAGTTGGAGTTGGTAGCAGGATGTTGCTTGGCTGGCCATATTCTGACTTCAGTAACTCCTCTTTGGTTTGCACATACAGTTGTATAGGAGAGGCAGCAGTGTGTGTTAGCATATCCACAGGGCTCAAGGCTCCTTTCAGGGCTTCTCATTCAAATGCCACAGCACTGTCCGTGGGTGAACTCACCAACCCTGTAGACTGTTGGTGTCTGACTTCAGACCAGAGTTCAACAAATTGTTGTACCTCTTTATCATGCCTGCCCCAGTAGGGTTATATAGTACATGAAACTTCCACTTTATTCCTAATTGCTGCATCCATTCATGTAACACATGTCCTGTAAAGTGGGTGCTTTGATTGCTCTCAGTCACCTATGACCAGCCATAGGTTGCAAAGAGTTGCTCTAGGCCCCTCTTGGTGGTTTGCACAATGTTCTGCACATGTGCTGATCTGCACAATGTTCAGGAAAAGCAATTAACAGTCCAGTAGACATGACCACCAAGTCATGGCATACCAGTATTCTTCTGATAAGGGCAGAGGCCCAATATAGTTTATCTGCTACCTGACAAGGGGTATTGACCCCTTTACTCTTGTCCCATGTTGCTGTGGGACTCAGTGTAAGTCCCTCTTAGAGCACAAAAGGCACTCCCTCCGTACTCTGCTGACTTCTTCAAAGGTCAATGACAAGCCCCAGTGACATGCTACAGACCACATTGTCTTTTGCCCTATGTGCAACAAACACTAATGTAACCATGGGGCCACATCAGAGGCAGGCTTTCCTTGTAGCCAACACACTTGGGCCAATATGTCTGCTTCATCATTCCCTGGGGATGCCAAAGGCAAATGGCCTGTCACATGATATACAGTAAGAGTCTTATTCTGGTCAGAGGCCCATACGTCTTGCCACAATTCTTGCCCCCAAAAGGACCAGTGACCAACCATCCAGTTAACATGGTACCATGTCAGGAGCCACAGGGTCAAGCCCCAATAGACAGCCCAGCTGTCAGTGCAGACAACTCTAGGGGAGGGCTTCTGGGTGATCAGGAGCCATACTGTCCACAACTTAGTCCATTAGCTGCTCTTCTCCTCTCCATCCTCCATCCATATGGTCTCAGTCTTGGAATGAAAAGCCACAGCCCACCACTTCAGGGGCTGCCCACCATCTGTATACCAAGCATCTTCAGGTATAGGTGCTTTTCTCCCCTAATAATGACTCTCAGCTACCAATGGTTCAAAAGCAAGTTCTTCCTGCTTTCCACTGGTATATGTCACTGGCCCCAGTAAGCATTGGAGTTCTCCACTTAAGGGGTGAGTAGACAGGGTGCTGTGCTGCTGTAAGTATGCACCCCATTTGGCCAGCTTAGGTGTCTGTGCCATACCACTCCATGGCCTTTGGGTCCAGTCTCACACTCACCCTGCAATGGAATAAGTTGTTATTACCATGGTTGGAGCTGTTCCAGTGATGAGCTCCATAGCCAACAAGGCATGGTACACAGCAGCCGGATGCTTCTCTATCAAGGTACACTAGACCTCTGCTCCTTTCCATAGCTGTGACTAGAATCCAATAAGTTGCTGTGTCTCTTCTAGCTGCTGCCAAAGGCCCCATCCACAATCATCTTTGGTTACATGAACATCTAGCTCACAGAGCCTTTATGAGTCCATTACACTCAAGGCCCATATGGCCTTGACTGCCCGCTTGGCAGCAGTAAAAGCAGCTGCACATTTCATCCCAGTCCCACCTGCTGCCCTTTCGTACCAACCTGTATAAGGGCTTCAGAATTTGTGCCAAGTGTGGCATAAACACTCTCCAGTGGCCCCAAAGACCCAAAAACTCTTATAAGACTGCCGCAGTTGTAGGGTTAGGGAAAGCCTGGACCTTGTCTGTGACTGCTTCTGGAACAACTTTAGTCCTACCTGACCAGACAACCCCCAAGATCTTTACTGACAAACCAGGTCCCTGAACCTTGGTGCTTTCCACAGCCTATCCTTTCTCCCGCAGATGTTGTAGCAGTCTAGGAACTGCCCCTTCTTAATCTGCAAGAGGTTCAGACATGAGCATGATATCATCAATGTAGTGATACAGCCACACCATTTGCGATTTCTTCCATGTGGCCAATTCCTGGGCTACAAGTCCATGACAGATGGTGGGACTGTGGAGGTATCCCTGTGGAAGGACCGTGAATGTTCACTGCCACCTTCCCATGTGAAGGCAAACTGTTTCTGACTTCCCTGTTCTATGTCAATAGGAAAGAAAAT